GGAGCCGCCCTGTGGACATCCTCCAATTGCTGCTCCTGTGCCTCGTCGAGACAACCGGTAGCAATACCAAAATCCCCGGAAGTCGAGAGGTCGGGGAATGGATACGGTGTCCGCAAGGTTCGAGCTGGGCTCACGTCGTGCCGTATGCGCATCTCATCCTCTTCGTCTTCCCATGCTGGGAACGACAATTCCGACTCGTAGTCGATTTCCTCTGAGTTTTCCACGACGAAGTCCATCGCTCGCGGTGGGCGTGGTGTGCGGCGACCGTTTGCCGAGGACTTGGGATACGCTTCCCTTGAAATTGCGGGCGTATTGTCCGGAGTTGCATCGCGTGCGGTAGACGAAGAAGTGATCCACCCGCGGGCGTTCTCGGGCGTTCTCGGAGGTAGCAGGCTGGGTAAAAGGGGTGTGTCTCACATAGTTGTGTGACCACACAATGATGTGGCTATACCTTAACAAGAAGCCACTACTTGGCAGGTCTGCCAGTAACTATGCATATAATTAGGTTTTACTATTTCACTATAAAGACCTATAGAATAAGATATAGGCGGCTCTGCCGCAAATAAAAAAAAAGAGATTAGTCTGGATTTTGGACGGGAAGAGTGTATTTGCCCTAATCAAGGTTTGGGTACTCTTGGCGATAGCGGTTTGCGGTCCGTTACACTCGTACTGGTGCTAGTATATAACGTAAGGTCAGTAACTTAGCTTAGCTTCCTCTAAGCAAAGAGCCAAGTTAGCCTCGCTGCATCAGCGCGTTGCAATATTCTGTATAAAGCGAGAATAATACCTCAACAGATTTTTGAATTAGCCAATCCACCTGTTTCACTAAGCACTAACCAATCGTGAGCGACTAAATCATGCATGAAATTCATGAGCTCAACTTATTCCGCTGGTACCAACGTACCATTTTGTATACTAGACCGTCTTTGTCATCTCTTTTGACCATCATTTCTAGATACGGATCCAAGCTCACCAAGATCTAATTCCCGAAACGGTAAAGGCGATTAACAACCCCCTAGTATTACCTATGTCACTCCTTTCACGAGTTTGAAACCTTTCTCGTCACAAGCTCGTGAGGATCTACTGCTCCGCACGATGAGCACGTCAACGGTTTTGGTGACTTAGAAATACCATCACATCGTGACAGCGATGGGTCATCCTTAAAGCTCCAGAAAATAGCTCTGCTGCTTGTGACTTATATCCACCCGTCTTCGGCGGATTTGGCTCATGTGACATCCCCATACTATCGCAATAATTTCAAATCGGCTCTGACACAGAGATACTAGTCTTTGGCTTCCTTTTACTGTCCAGCCAAAGACACACTCAGTACCCTGCTTTAAATTTGTTGCTTCCTATTTCATCCTGAGACCATGACTGTCTACCACTTCGCCCTTTCGAGCTTTGCCCGCGTACTCAGCAACATCGCTGATTATTCATTCAAGCAACATTACGTCATTGGCAGAAGCTATTGCGGCTTCATACACGGGCCAAATTCTTTCAATGCAACTGGGTTGCCGTGCATTTTGGTTAGAGGAAGCTTTGGCTCAACAAGTCCACGCTGATAAACACAACAGACGTTGGGTTTGTACACTTTGTTTGGGATCAAAACCAAAACCTTCAAACTTGCTAGGTCCTTCTTTATTGTAATAAGTAACGTATACCGAATGAAGCAAATTTTTAAAAACTAATATACGTGTTACTGTGTTCCATAATAAATCTACTTGAACTTGATGTCGTGAGGTAAGCAGCCCACATGACCAACGGGCCACTTCATCGTAAGCTTCGATCACTTACATCAGCGCCAGTACTTTAATACTATTGGGCTAAGTTCGAGGAACAATAGTGCAATTTGAACGTACACCATAATACGGTACATACACTCAAATAAGGGGTGTACCCCGTTTTTATATGGGCAGCTAGCCTATGGTATGAAGTACATTTGGCTGACTTGGAGCTCTTGTTTCCACACCAAGGTAAACTGTACGAATACGACTCTTTAAGCATTTCTTGACGCTTAATCGGTACATCGAAGCTACACTGCGCGTGATGCACGGCAACCCGTTGTACATGCATTACTGAGGACACACGGTGAATAAACGGCAGTAGTAGTAAAAAGCAAGCTGCAATACCGGCCAACCTAATCGCTTATTTATTCATACATAGGGTCAGCAACAAAGCGGAGTCCTATCCAAGGTGTAGCGATTTATTTGAGTACAACTTACTGGCTTAGTTTATTAGTATCATTTAAACTGGTTTTGAAGTTCCATATTTGGTGGCTTCCACTTTTGGGCTCACACTATCGCAAAGTCATCTTGAGAGTATAATCACCACGAGGACCGTAGCCTATATATTTACAAGAAGAATTTTCAAAAGCATTGGCTGAAACAGATAAGTTCATATATTTACAATTTATCATAATTGATTGATTTTATCAAACAGTTGAAGATATTTGTTCACCGTTCTGATAAACTTTCGAAGTATGCATTTGCATAAGCCTACATACATTTCTCGCATTATTTGAAACTTTATATGCAGCGAGGCTGCCGGAACTCTTTGCTTAGATGAAACTAAGCTAAGGTCACCGGCCTTACCTTCTTCACAAGAACCAGTACAAGTGTAGCGAATCGCAACCGCTACACCCAAGGACTTAAGATCTTAACCAAGGTAAAGACGCTGTTCCGTTCAAAATTGAAACCGTATTTTATTAATTTAGTTGCTGCAGATCTAATTCATTAAGTAATATAGTAAATCCAATTAATATGCATAACTGCTAGCAGTCCTGCCACGTATTGATTTCTTGCTACGGTGTAGCCACACCATTGTGTGATTACACCAAATTTTGTTATCTACATCTCCGTACGGTCACACCATCTTATACAACGGTACGGGTAACCCCGTTACACCCCCCCATCACAATTGCGAATATCCACAATTCACATTTTACCGTCGCCTCATACAAGGCTCTCGTGTCTGAATCACTGTTACGTCCTTAAGAACATTCTAACATTCTTGAACATTCTTCTACTCAATGAGCTTAATGTCTATGACACGAAGTAACACCCAGTTCAGCTGGTTCCGAGGGCGCCCGCGAGGAATGCCCATCTTCTTCTGCACAGGATGCATTCCCAGACAGTACGTCAACGGAAGCAGAGCCCAAGCCCTCGGCATCCGAGCGCCACACACCGCGCACGCCCCGGGCAATGAATTTCATTGTCGAGGATTCCGAGGAAGTCGACTACGAGTCGGAATTGTCGTTTCCAGCATGGGAAGACGAAGAGGATGAGATGCGCTTACGGTACGACGTGAGCCCAGCTCGAACCTTGCGGACACCGTTTCCATTCCCCGACCTCTCGACTTCCGGGGATTTTGGTATTGCTACCAGTTGTCTCGACGAGGCACAGGAGCAGCAATTGGAGGATGCCCACAGGGCGGCTCTTATGCGCTCGTATCCACATTCAGTCCTAGATCCTCACGTGGAGTACGGCTTCCGCTCGGCGGATTTAGCTACTGAAGCGAAAGACACGATCACATCGTTAGGCGTCTACGTAGTCGGGCCCCCTGCAACTACACATGCTGATCTCGACAAACGTAAAAATCTCCGAGCTCGCTTCTCGGTACCATAAGAAATCCCAATGGATCGATACCGCGCTCGACTCTGCACTCAAAGTGGAGGCGCTCTTGTACCCGCAATGCGAGCGATTCCTGTGGTACTCGCCCGATGATCAATAGCTCTTTGAGCGATGGGTGCAGCGGCACCGGAAATTTTTCTCGCTGTATAACTTACAACAGAGCCACAAGGAAGTAGACGTGTGCGCAGAACGCCATCTTCGGTTTGATTTTGCCAAACTCGCCGACTTCCTGCCTATCGTTGCCTTGCGACGTATGGATTAATCCATCGCGCTCCCGCGAGCTCTGTCATCTCTCACACGAGTAAGTCTACGACCACAGCAAATCTGGGCCATAACTTGAGCTCGGCTCATGACCTTCGGCTATTGCCGAGAAGCGCGAGGCGTAACGACGACGCGGAGAGTCATGATCCCTTTGAATATAAACGTCCACGACGTCTGGGTAGTCTTGCCGAAGTGGTATCTCAAACTTCCACAACTTCTCGAAGTTTGGGATCCCCGCCACTTCACAAGATAGTGGGTTTGACCCTGTTGAAGACGTCGACCCACAAATCGCTCCATGTGATAGAGAACGCCACCATTCTCATTGAGAAGAGGCGACGGCGGGCGATGACGACTTGGTCGATTGCCGTCCTGTGACTCTTGATGCTCTTCGAGCCCTTCAGGACGAGGTCCTTCGCGATCGGAGCTTCGCTAGGCGTCATGCTGAAATAGCATATCGCTATGCAGACGATCTTGATGATTTGGAGCACGTCGTGCGCCGGCTGCCTCCACTTGACGACTACCACGCTCTGTTGAAGCGGCTCCTAGCCATGGAGAAGGCGAATGCGTCGCTGCGTGCGACGGTGAAGCGCTTGGCGCCATTAGAAATGGAGGTTTTTGCGCTCCTTGCTCAGAACTAGTTGCTGGTTCAACTTCTGAGTGGCCGAGGGCCCATGGGACCCGCTCCGGCGCCAACACCTTTGCGTTCACTTGCACCGGATCCCGGTATGGCTTGAGCAAGCCCACGTAAAACACCGGGTGGGTGCGCATCCGTTTTGAAAGGTTCA